ACTTCCTCGAGACGCTTTCTTTTAATTGAACTCGCGGCGGAAATAATAATCGTAATAGTCATAATAATAATAATAATAATAATAATAATAATAATAATAATAATAATAATAATAATAATGGGTCAAGATAGAAAAAAACAATTCACTTAACACAAACTGGTTGTTAATACAAATTCAAGCTTTGGATTCGTAAAATAAAAAATTATGGTCCTACAACAACACATGATTTTTCGTTTTAATTGCTTATTAAATATAAAATAGCAACTTCTATCGTACGAACACTTTAGCTAACACTTGAAGTATTCCTAAGTAAGAGGGGGGAAAATGCTTATCTTTTATTTATTAAAATTCAAAATTGTAATGAAAAATTACCCTTCTGAAATTCAATCGCAACTGATGCCCTATAAAAAGCGAGTAATCAGTTGGTAAAGCATACTCTTGAACGAACAACAAATGCTCTTGACGAACTGGTATGATATATATTATTATATATATTATATATATATATATAATATACTATATATACTATATATATATGATTTTTCGTAATTTTATAATACCAACTGGTTTGATATGTCATGTTAATTGACTATTAATATATTATCCATGACTTTTGAATTTCGACAATATTTAAATTTAATGTAATTTAATCGTGAAAGATGATAAGGATTGAATATATGGGAACATTATATTAGAAAACAGGGATACAATTTAACGATTGGGGCTACCTCATGGTGTCTTCGGGATGATCCTTTTCGTTTGCCCTGCAACGGCGGGCAGGGTGAGGGCAAGGTGTGGCGCCGATTAGCCGCATTTAGCACTACCGATGTCGCCGAGGAACTCGTCGTGCTTTGCGCAAACCAGAAGAATCTGCTACTTCCTCACAGAATTTTTTTTTTATTGACTATATGTCAATTTTCCTAAACAAACCCACATCTCCTCTGCCAGTTCGCAGACAACCTGAAAGGAAACGAAAGAGCTATGTTTTTCCGCGGTTTCTCCTTGGCGCACTTGCTCCGAAACACCCTCGGACGGTCACTCGCGCGGGAGAGAGAGTCGCGTACCAAATGCGGCGACCCAAAGACGCCCCCGACCTCGAGGTTTCGAAATGCAAGCCTTTTTCTCAACGCGACGACCGCTGATTGCTGTAGAATGGAAACCTGCGCAGACTAACGATGAGACATTCGTCTGCTGGCGCTGCTCGTGCACTTCCTGCTTAAAAAACCAACAGCGAATCGGACGGAAAGTTCATCGATCGAACCAAGCCCTCCCGGCGCCGCGGAGGATTCGGAACCCGTCCTCTTGGCACTCGCGGTCCCTCATGGAAAGCAGCCCAAGTGCGAACATACGGTCCTATCACGCCGGGAGCGCATATTTACCCAGTTTGCACGGTTGGAACGTTTTTGCATTTATTTTGGACCAGGTATACAAAATGTTTGAAACTATGAATACGTATGCTTCTGTGAGCTGTGTATCGCTTTCATTAGTCTGATTATGTCAACTATTGACTTTCGCTTCAAAACATCTAAAATACACGAATTCCCGTTGCAACGTAGCGTGTTGAGAATGTGACCTGTTCCTGCAACATTATGCATATGGGGTTGCCTAAGAATCAGGAGTAAATGTCACATGTGTAACGTTTTTTGAAATTATCCACTACATAGTCTTCGGCAAAATTTGATCATCCCCCCCCCACACACACACATATGCCCTAGAATGAATAGACAAAACAACATTTATTCTTAGGGATTTGAATATACTTCGAGTCCATAAGGCAAGTCCAGTCTGTCAGTGGAAGGTAAGCTATATACGCTAAGCTTTGTGTGGTGAAGTTCAACAACCCTTTAGTGAAACGAATAGTTCAAGCTTGTATACTGTGGAAATGCTTCGCTGTTATTCCTCAGTATTGTATGTTGCCAGACTTATAGCTAGTGCTTACAAATCAGAACCAAATATTAAAATGTTATTGTATCAAGTGATTCCATTAATTACATGAAGCATACATTTAGAAATATAATCGTGATTTTAGTGAGATCATTGCAAAAAACCATTATGTGTACTGGATCAGTGAAACAATAATTTGCAAAATAAAAATTGAAGGGACCTACAATTAGTACTCAGTTTCACAAACTGGTGTGCCAAAATAATAAAATTCGTAGCAACTACAAAACTGTACTTCCTTGTATTGCTGAATACTGTATTAGAACTGTAGTTAGGTTAAACCTTACATATTGTGAAAATATGATTTACTATAACTTTTTTCTTGTCAAATTGTAACTATTATATTTGTATACACAATTCTATAATGACATGGGTCGCTGATGACCTTGGCGTTATAAAGCGAACATAAATAAATAAATTAAAATAAAAAATGGTATACCTACTGCAACGGAAACTACGAAAGGTAGCATGAGCGAAGCCATTCTCTCGCTTCCACCGAGAGTGAACAGGCGGCATTATTCGTGAGTTATGAAGCACAAGTTGTCTTCAGTGTTTCTTCCTCATCGAATTTTGGGCGCCAAACTATGAAAATAAGTTGATTTCCCAGTGTGGTCGGAGGGCGCCGGAGAGCGCTGTGTAGAGGGAGCCCTGCCTCCGGGTAGGCTTTTCCACTGCCGGCCACCGACAGCGCACGCACTCCACTGTCTCCGCCCGCTCACCTTCGCTCGCCTACCGCAAGTCGATGCAGAACAACATCGACGTATCGCACCCGCTTCACTACCATCTTCGCGTCCGTCGCTGCATTTTCAATCCCTCGTCCTCACGTCTCCCTCAGCACTTTGAAGTCCCCGCCCGTACAGTTTCACGAGCCCTCGCTCTCAACGTTTGTCATCCAATGAGCTCTCACCATCTCCACCGCCGTCTCATTCTAACAACTATCCCCCAGACCTCTCATAGCATCGCAGTCCTTAATACTGTTGGCTTTCGATCTGGATCGAATGTCTAGATGATAAAGTAGATTTTTTTCTGAAATTTCACATCCCTAGTTAATTTCATTCGCGAAGATAACTAAAAATTGAAACTTCTCCAACGATGACATAATTTACAAGACTTAGTACTTATAATGTGAACTCAATGCAGACGTGAACTCATCTCTGTGAAGAGGGTTGTTCTTGATTGTGTATGCGTCACGTTTGCGTTATTGTCTACATTCGCGAAAGCCTTCAAGCCTAAGTTTGAATTACAACACGCAGTTGTAGCTAAGAGTAGTTACCATTTCGTCTGTGCACTTGGACAGCAAAACAGTAGTAGAAATAACTACGGTTAAGAACTGCATTGTAATTGGCATACACATCAAGAAAAAGTTTCTCAGAAATTAAATCCAAAGAATGAAAAGAACTTGTTATGTTTGCAATGTATTGCCAAGACAGGTGTTAAAAATAAGTTCGCAAGAACTACTGTATGTGAATGTGCGTGTTTGTGAGTGTGCGTTTCATTATTAACCTTTCCTATTATTTGTAAGAACGGTGTATTTTTTGGGGTGTTCTTTCATTTTCATGGAGAACAGCTGTACCAATTTTGTCGATGCAACCCCATTTTTCAATATTAAAACATGGGTAAAGGGTGTCATTTGCCGCGCAAATCGCCAATCAGCGTTGGGGGGCGGGGCGGGGGGCGACAGCCGTCGCGGCGGGATCGCTCCCGACAAATCGTTAATCGGGCGTTTTGTGCGGAGCGAAATCAATATCCACCGTGGCGGCCCTGGAGCAAGCGCGGCGGCGGCGGCCTCCACAGGTCCACGCCGCAGGCTCGCCTTGCGGTCAGCCATCGCCCCTTGGACAGTCCAAAGACACGACCAGTTGGCCAATCAAGATGTTTTCGGGAAGCATGTGTGTTTGTGTGAATCAATAAATAATTGAAACTAACAAATAATAAAAAAATCGCTATTCGTATATTCTCACGTAGTACTTCCGTAGTGGAGAGAGAGAGAAAGTTATGGTGACAAACGGCAATTTTTCGGCACTCGAAGTCGTGTCTTCCCTGCGGGTCGGTTTCTTCCCTCCAAGGTTAGTCAAGTCCAGTTCACGGATAAAGTCACGTCTTTTGGTAGACTATACATTGTGCAGGCTTGCAACCGAGCCGCTACTTCAAAGGTCTGTCTGCCGTTCGCGCGCGAAAACAAATGAATCGCTGGTCGCGGCGATGCGTGAAGTGGTGCCGCAGATCGAAGAGAGTTCTTGTCGATTTCCTTGCAGGTCCGTGCGTAGACTGAGACCAACAAAAGTCCTCTGTTCTCTAAAGACGTCATGCCCCAGGATCCAACGACGCACAGCAATCTCATAGCTGTTTATACAAACCGTACTTTTAAACCACGCGCCAGAACACGGCTGAAGGCGTACATGTCACCTTGAAATAATGTTATGTTTCGACTCCATGTTATTTACCACTATGCTAAACTAACGAAATTAAATTTTGAATTAACTACATTCAGGGGTGACAATTTACCTCTTAAGCGTGTTTCATGCCACATGGTACTGAGAAAATATTGTAACACTGTAGGGAAAAGTGCCAATTGTTTGACAGAAAATCATGTTTTATAGACCCAAAAAATGAGATTTTTCTGTAACTACTTTTCCACTACATTACTCCAATGCGTAGCGTATCCAGATACCGAATTTTGTAGGTTTCTGATACCGAAAAAGTATTATTTGTATTAAAAGCAAATATTTAATGGCGGGGGGGGGGGGGGCGTCTTCTTGAACGCTTTCTGCACATGACACAAGCGGTGACGTCAGCAGCGACCTCACTGAGAATGAAAGTCGCCGTCGGTGTGTGGTATTATGAAAGGAAACAAAATGAACTATTTGCACTTTTCGAGTTAAAGATCGAAACATTCGTTACTTTTTCATTTTTTTCGAGTTTCTGACTTCCTAACTTTTTTTTTTTTTGTGGGCGCATTGAAACCTAGTCATGTCTGAACTAGTTGAAATATTACGGAATACAATTATTATGTTTTACGAGTAACTTTGCCTAAGAGGTTATACGAAGAAGGCAGTGATATGCACCGCACGTGCTCTCGTGTTCCATGTCCTCCAGAAACAAAAGAAGGTGAGAGCGTGAGAGCGCCAGTCGTCTTCCGAGGCGAGTGCTTGCAAATGCGTTTAGGTGTCCGCCGGCCAGAAGCAGGTTAGCGCGCGTTTGATTGGATCATCCACAGCCGACAACGCCCTGTGTGGGCGGGGGCTGTAACGAGATTCTTCGTCGCCAGAGAGTAACGGTTTCAAATTCCATTTGGCGCGCGGCGCTTTTGAAGTGGCCCTCGGCGCCGCAGCGATGAACGCGGCAGGCGGCCACGCGCCTCCTCTGGGCGGACCTCTCGGGCGAAGGGGCTCTCGCGCTTTCCTCCCGGCGCTGGCGGGGGGCCTCCGATTAGGGCATCGTCTCATGGTCGGCAATCCAATCAAATAATCTATTTCCGTACACTATTGCTCATGTAGCTGCGCAATAATATATGTGAACTTTCGAATTTTTCTAAAAATCAGATACTTGAGACCCTCGCCATATTTTGAAGCGTTCTTTACTCTATTCGAGGGTAAAGTTTAATTAAACAATCGATCAATGTTTTGATAAAATTTTGAAAATATTGAGGCTTTATGAAAAGTTCCCCTATAAATCAATATATCCATTTCACATTCGTAGAACCTTAAATTCGTTTTGATCGATCGAGGAATATGTTTTGGAGAAAATTGCCTTAGCAATTCAGGCGCAAACAGCCAGACGGACGGACGGGCAAAACACAAAACAATGATGTTAGAAAAGTATCGGGCTTAATAAATCGATGTTTAACTCTCGATTACAATGGCGATTACAGACGACGCAACTAGTGCTGAAATCTTCCCCCACCCCCTTATCCTGACTCCCCGTTTCTGAAACTGTTCTCTGTTCTTCAGTGTGTGACTAGTCTCTGAAATACGCGTATCGTTGTTCACGTGCCTATTTCCGGTATATGCTATTTTAACACGCGTCGTCTAGTAGACAAAGCCTTTGTACTTACTTCAAAGATATTTTTGGCGTTATATTGACTAATATTGTAAATAATGACTAGAAACTCCTTGTAACAAGCTTTGTTCTGAACATTCAGCCATCATAATGGGACGATGGCGATTATACGGCAGCGTGACGAGGTACTTCTGCGGACGCACCTCAAAAGCCATGCGTCGACAGTACCCACCAAGAGCCTGCTGTGAATGTTAAGTCATTTAAAAGTATCTAGAAAACCATTCAAAATGTATTTCGTAACCCCAAATCATACATGTTCAACGCGTTCATTTAGTATTTTAGTTTAAAAATGAGTAATTCTTTATTGTTACCCAAAGTAGTCTTTCAGACTACGTCTTTGTAATAAACCTTGGTACATGTCGCCTTTGTAATCTAGGGCTAAAATAGCGATGATTCTATAAAACTACGGATTCTGGACCGCTAGCCACTGCCCATGCGTCCTTTGTGGTGACTCGCCGCCTGGGAGCTCTTGCGTTCCGAGAGTCAATCCCATCGGAGCCTCGAGCCCAGAGAGGAGCGAGGCGCGTGGCGGCCGGTCTTAGGAGCCCCCCCCCTCCCCCGCCCCAAACATGACACGCGCGCCAAGCGCCTTTGAAGCGGTCGCCGCCGCCGCTCGTGACCCCGAGAGGTCAGGTGAACGCCGCCCTCTAATGAGCCTTTAAGCAAACTGACGACAGGGCACCGAGGCGCGGGGATTCAAATGACAAAGCGAAAAGCAGAAATAATGAGTACGAAATTACACGTTTGCCATCGCCTCGGGCGCCAGCGATGCGGGGGAGGGACACGCGGCCGCCCCCAACCCGACAGCGCACGCAGCCAATGCGAAAGCCCTTAGGAACGAGGAAAGGGAATTATTTGAAATATTGGTCGAGAAGTAAGTTTGTCAGAGTGAATGCAACCAGGGCAAACAAACCGTCTTTTCATCGAAGCTAATGCAGGAACATCTCAGCTTTTACTTTTCCTTAGTCGTGGAATAAACTTATATAATGCTAAAAAATCAATCATAAAATTTGGACGGAGATTCGTATTTCACGCCTGTCAGTTCGTCCATGTACCTAAACCGTACACTGGATTTTCTCAAAAGTGAATGTTATATGATTCATTTGGCCCGAATTGAATATCTGCATATTTCATTTACATAATTTTAAACAGCATTTTATATGAAGGTAATTTTATTTGTATTTTTTTTCAAAAATGACTGTTTGTAATACCACTATTGTTCTATTTTTTTCTCTCGAGAACAAATGGTACAAACAGGCGCAAGGCACATTTTCGGCGAACACTCTGTTTTTTAGAAAATTGCAAACTAACATTAACATTACAAAATTTCAATATTGACGATAGTGATTTCTTCCGTAATGAAATCTGTTATTTAAAACTATGTCATGAAATGATAAAAATGGAAATCTTAGAATTTTTTAAAAATCGCAAATTAAAAGTTCAACTTCTTTCAAGTGTTGAGAAGGTTGATTTTTGTTGGGGTGCTGGCGATGTTGTGGGAACTTGAATGCCATGTTAACTTGAAGATCCTGAGTTTGAATCTCAGCGCGGAGAAAAATGCTGATTGGAAGCACGTGTTGGCAAGGGATTATATAAACCTCAGTTTAATTAACTGTGACGGTTGGTTAACTGTCTCTGTATTATGGAATGAAGATAACTATACCTAAGAGATAATAGAGTAATATTATTGGAGAATTCATAATAATAATGAAGGTAGATCGATGTTGGATTAAGAAAATTGTTAAGTGCAGAAGCTTAATTTATTGGTATGTTCGACCATTGAATTGTTACGCGATCTGAGTTCTGACCGGTGAGAGCCAGGTTATTTTATATATCTATTTATGGTCTGTTCCAGTAATATTATGATACAACGTTGCGTATCCGTTGCAAGTAATGCGAGGCAGTATGTGTCATTGTATCTCCCCTAGCTGGGATAAGCAAGAGAAATCGTGGGGAGCTAAATACGTGGGCGACGCGACGCGACGCGACGCTCCGCCAGCCCCAACGCGGCATTTGCATTCGGAATTGATCAAAGAAGGAGACCGTTTTCCTGCGCGAGCGAGCGGAGCCGCGGCTCCCGACGACACAAGTTCTTTTTAATGAGCGCAGCTTCTGGCTCTGTCATCCCCGCCCACGCCCCTCGCATGGGGCGGGAGAGGGCTTTAACGATTCAGCAGTCTCGTCGCGACATCCTCCACTGCACAGCGCTGCGGTCGCCGTCGACAGCTCGGAAGAAGACGTCGCGCGTCGCCGCCTGTAATTAAGCAGACGCTGGCAGAGCTCCCGTCACCTGCGCCCCGGCGCCGCCGTCTTCATGAGCTTTCCCATCTTCTCTGGGTTCCCGGTTCAACTTTGCTCTGTTTTGTCGGTTCAAACGGTGGACGCTGGCGAAACCCGATTCCCATTCGAAGTGCCCGAAACCCTATCGCTGAAAAATACTGCAACAATTCGAGAGAAAACAATTACCTGTCAGGAACTTCTATTAATTGTAATTAATGAGTAAAGTTTAACCAATAGCGACCGTAAATGAAAAGTATACCTAATAATAGCCGCGTTTTCAAAACTTGCGTAGTTTTCCGAATTGCGTAACTACGATCCGTGAAGTCACAGAGGTTAAGCAACTCGACACCACGGGTTCCTGGATGAGTGACCGCCTGGGAACCTCGAGTATCTGTCGGCGCCGAGACCCTGGCCGAAGGGATAAAAGACAATGACTACGGCCACCGATGACTATCCAGTTTAAGGGAGGATTACACGACGTTCGACGCCAGTACCAATGCTCAGAAGACGTGAACAGCAACCTTACGCAGGAAAGTCTATTTAGTGAAAAGCTTTTATCTCATAAGTGTCCAACAATTATTTCAAAGACCGTTTCCTTCTTCAAATCGGATTGAAGCAAAATGTGCGTGGAAATTACGTAGTAATGATACACAATCATTTGAATGATACTTCATTTGGTAAAAAGTGCTGAGTTCTTAGATGCAACTTTTTTGCAATAATTAAAAGTTGACTTTCAGAGAATAATCCTTTCAATTTTTCAAAGGCACTTTCAAACCACATCAGTGCTTTGCACTCGTGCTGAGGGCGTGTTTGGCTGCAGCGTAATGCAACGCGCATTTCCTGCGCCGCTTCTGTGGCGAGAAAGGCCGACGGCGCGGCGGATCTCGCGTGCATTCATGGCGCTCGGGCCGCGTATCGCCCGCCGCAGTCGCCGTCGTATCGCCGCGCCCACGCCGCCTCCTCCCGCGGACACGCCGCTCGAATGCAGGTCACGTGCCGTGGAGCGAACAACCCTTGTTATTGTTCTTGGCGTAGAATCATTAACCTGTCGACTATACCTAGGTCACGCCGTTGTCCTGAAAATCACATTAGAAATTAAGAAATAAAAACGTTCATATCGTATATCACTTCTGACGCACATTCTGATCATACCGATCACTTTTGCCTTTTCATCCAAAACAATTTCTAATCGATCTAACCGATTAACTAATTATAACTAATTTCTTATAGGTTTAGAATTATAAAATTATTTTCTAATAAATATTTACGACGTGAGTACGCAATACAGAAAATTGAAATGATGTGGGCACTATAAGTTTTTTGTACGATAATCAATTATGTTCCAGAAGATGACGAAAAAACTCGTCCAAACGTTGTACGTTCCAAGAAGATGTAAAATTGTGTGTAAACGTTTTTTTTTGTTGTTTTTTTTGAGTTTTAAATACATTGTAAATGAAACTGTCTTAAACATGGAATCTTTTGTTTGCATAAAAAACTCGTTTGTCGGTCGCGATATAAAAAATTCATTTTTCATGATCCAGTATGGAGTAAGGGAGTTGAAAAAAAAATCACTTGCAATATTCGTTAATTCAGAGGTTTGAGCGAAGAGCGATGTCCGTCATTTTTATAAGCCTAATTTGCTCTCTTCGGGTGAAAAGAATTAATAAATTTAGAAATTTCTGATAAAATTATGAAAATTTTCTGCCTTAATATAAAGTACCCCCATATTTAAATTGTTTACAGACGAACTGACTAATACTGCATTTTCGGTATTAATAAATAATAATACACATGAGTTGTCTTTCTACAGAAAGTCATTTACTAGTTAAAAGAACTGAATTGACTACATTTCTGTGTCAGAAACCAACCAAACGAAGTTTTTTTTCATCGAAACATGGGACCTTTTGATAAAGCATTAAAAAGGAAGAAAATCTCATTTTGGCCTAAATTTTGTAATTTAAAACCTATTTTCCTGAACCATCTGGATTACACTTGATCGAACGTAAAAAGCATTAACACTTACAAACATGTGATGTAGATTGATTCACATTAAAAAAAGCTTGTACTACAAGTACCACGTCGTGCCTTGCCTCTGACTTGGCAAGGGGTTGAGCCTCTTGGGCCCAGTTAGCGACGCACCGATCGCAAATTTCTCGCTCTGAAACGCGCCGCAGCTCCAAACCCGGCTTCGTTAGTGTATTCGCGTCTGGGAGAGTAAGTGTAAGTGCCGCTGAGTTAATTTGAGTTTAAGATATAAAATAAACTCAAATGGAGTTAGAAGTTGGCTGCTTTTGTCGCGCTTTGTTGAATAAACAAAGTTTGGGCTGCGCGAAGTTCCGCCGCAGCCCGTGGCCCTCGAGAGCGCGCTGCTGACGACGACGCCCTCGCCGCCTTTCCTCCCCCGCTGGGCTCACGTGACCCTTTGCGAAAAGAAAAAAAAAACAGCGACATGCTCAGGATGCTCTGTTGACTATATCCACTGTACGAGATCTTGACTGGCGATCAGTCGTTCCGATTTCTGGCCAGACTCGCTCAATCACGAATTCCACAAAATGCTTTTTTCCAACTATGGACTGGGTAACCCTAGCGTCAGGGACGGATCCAGCCGATCATTGTGGAGGGAGCCATAATAGATTTATGTTAAATGATAAAAAAACATTTGTTATTATATTGTGAATTATTTTTGTAGTGTGTATATGATACCAAAAAAATTTATAAATAATAACACAACTCTAAGATAAATATTTAAATCATTCTTGTCAAATAAAAGGAGGTAACAAACGAAACCTGTAGGACGCTTGGGGTGGGGGCATGCCCCCTCCCTGCGCAGTGGGGAATGTGCGCTCGGGTCCTTCTAACACTATTATTACCTTACTACGCTCTGGTAAAAAGAGGAAAAAGTGGAATTGCCTCAAAAATACGACCTCGAAATTCCGGTTGTCAAATCAGTGTTTAAAGTTCTTTCGAGCTGTGCCTTCGGACACACGTCAGGATTAAAATCTATTAGTGCTGTACCAAAATTGGTTACGATTGGTGCAGGAGGCCAAGCATTTTTTTTAGTATCAAGTGCTCTATGAGCTTAGGCGCTTTTGAACTGAAACTAGGTTAACACGTCCAAAGACGATCAAGTTGTGGCATGAGGCCATTGTATTTGAATTTTAAGTGATACTACACAATTGTCTGAAAAATGGCTGCAATTCTTTAAAGGTTTTGCTCGAAGAGACAAAACGGCTGAAGCTGCATGTATAAAAATGATGTAGTTCTGATTTTCGTTAAAACTTTTGTTCATTAAAATATTGTTCGAACCTATCAATGTCTGAGTTAGAAAATAAAATTGATGCACTGCTGTTATTCCACGAACAAATGACCAACTGAGATAGCTCAGGGGAGCTGTTCCCACTGCAGCATCTCTAATCTGGAGGCCGTAGAGTTCGTGTCCCGAAGGTGGATTTTCGACATCTGCTCTATAACTACGTCAAATTCAACTTCTGTCTGGAGGAGGATTCTATTGGCAGACTGCTCTGCTTTGATGGGTAGTTTTCCGCGGTTTCTCTTGTCAGTTCCAGGCGAATGCAGGCAAAGTACCTTGAAAAGTGTTCATGGCCGTGTGCGAGTACAGAGCGACCGGGACAGTACTCCGTCGTCGGAGATATTTGGAAAAGAAAAATACAAGCCAATCGACGTGTAGGTCGGCGCCGGATCTCCTGTTACAGCGGGAGAAGAATATTCTCACCTGCCGAGATATAACATGCACTGTATTTATGAAACCAACGATCACACCATTAAAGACGAAATAATTAATCAACGAACAAATATGCACAGTCTTGTGGCTGCAACTCCTTTTACGGGTAATAAAATAACTAATCTATTGTGAAGCAAGTATGAACGTGCTTATTAGTTTCCTCATTACATGTACGGGAATCATGGTAATGCACACATCTCATAATTATTCTCCGCGAGTCATGTGCACATTTTGTAGTTTCTTACTCGTAAAACTTATTTGATATTATCCCAGATACGCCGACTGATCTAATGACTCTGTGTGTGTGTGTGTGTGTGAGAGAGAGAGAGAGAGAGAGAGAGAGAGAGAGAGAGAGAGAGAGAGAAGACGAGGCGAGAGGGGTTTAGTGTACCATGTCTAAAAGATCCGGAATGCAGTTTTCTGGCGTCTTGCATAAATGTATGTTAAAGGTTGTGCCAGATAGAAGGAAGGAATTGTGCTTGCCATTTGCCTGCGCTGTTCCTCCCCTCCCCCACCCCGCCCACCCCCCGCCTCTTCTGAAGATGGGTTATTTCTGCTGTCCGCGATATCAGCCCCCGTTCCCGGCCCTTCCCGCTCGTGCTGCGATTGCGATAGCCGCGCTGGCTTCCGCTTCCGGTGTGGGCGGAGGCTGAGTGGAGTGGAGTCGTGGCAGAGAGGGCAGCGGGTGTGGCGGTGGTTGCAGGTTGCCTCCTGGACAGCGCTCCGCCCGATGTGCCGCCCCGCAACCCCTCCATGAATCGGCTCAACGGGCGCATTGCCACCGGCATCATGGGCAACCCGGCGGACCGCGACGGCGACTTCGAGCCGTCGTGCCTCGTCCGGACGCCCTCGGGGAACGTCTACATCCCCACGGGTGAGTACGGCTTTCGGGGCTCTGACATTCCTTTGACGGCGAGGTCCTGGCAGGTTGGACCGCTATAGCTTCATAGCTAGGTCGAATTCAATTTACGCCTGGAGGGAATTGTAGTGGCTGCTCTGATCGGTAGTTTTCAATGTTTTTTTCTATCAACACCACGCGAATGCCGGAGCAGAACCCTAACAAACGGGTCACGCACCACGCGCAACCTTCTCTTCCTCTTTCTTGATCTATCCTCAACCCTTACTTACCCACAGTTATTGTCACACGCACTTGCCACAAGCTCAAACCCATGTCGGGAGACCAGTCGGGAGCTTCGAGCTTGTCCCGGCTAGGGGCGCCTTAGGTGCTTTAGGTGGGGAAAACCCCGGGGGAAGATCTTCTGGACAAACGATTCCAAATTCCGATTCCTTTTTTAAACACCGTTTGAAGGTAAAACCCCGGAAGCTAATAACCCCGGAACTACACAACGAGTTGCACAATTTAACAAATTTTAAACAATTGGATCATTTTTAAGTTTCCGTATCAAATGTTCAAATTGCTTCTCTCTGTTAATAATTTGAAATATATTTTTTCAAAAAGTGTCCTGAAACTTAAAATTTTGTAATTTTTTGTAAATTTAATAATTTTTTGTGCAGCAAAGTATGTTCATGAAGTCGGGCGCTTTAAAGGGAATTCTCCTTTCAACTATTCAGCATGTTTGCAAGGGCACATAATTGCAAGACATTAATTGTTTTTCAGTTTCACTGAGATGATGATTTGAATGACTTGTGCTGGAATTATGCAGATAGAATGGCTTAATGGGCATTATAGTACTGCTCATTTATGCACTAAATGATGATTTGCCATAGGGGGAGGATTACACTGACATGCAGATCTATTTCACTTCTTGTAGAAATTGCTCCTCCCGCTCATTAAATTCCTTTTTTTTTTTTTTTTAATACTTCTCAGTTTGTCTCTGTAAACTGAAACGAGATGAGAGGATGACAGAGCCCACTCATAAATTAGAAGCAGTGGCCATAAAGAATGATACAGTGCAGGTCTGAGCTACGCTGAAATAGAATAAGGAAATAAAATTTTGCCTTATTGAATTTTGCATACCTTTCATTTTTGACGATTCAAGGTAAAATGGAAGCTCAAAGATAAAATATCCACCAATTTATCTCCATTTTCTTTCTTTTCTCAACAATCTTTTCTTTAATTCATAGCCACACAGTTTACACCAAACAAACAATATAAACTGATTGGCCTAATTGTAATTGCTTTCATGGAAAAAATAATCTTGTATCTTTCATCTTTATTATATATTTAGAAATGTTATCTGCAACATTGAAAGTAATCATAATATTCTTTTATACTCTTGGTGGTTATCGGAATTCCTCATTTAAATTACTGTAAATGGGCCATTCTAATTTCTCACAATGGAATAACTCCACTATTTTTTTTTTCTAATATTATAAATTTAGTGCAACAAGTTTAAAAGGGGAATATGTTTATCACTTTCATTGACTAATGATAAGCCTTAATATTCTGTGTTATATACTTTTAAATCATATCTGACATTCATGCAAAAAAATTATTTCTCTCATTTGGCCAATTTTGGGAAATGGATTGGAGAACTGAGGTCATTCATTTTCTCATTTGTTCTCGCAATCTATTTTGATCTTAGTTTGTTATATTATTGCAAAGAAAACACTTTCAAAACCATTTCCACTAACTCAATTCCTCCACTAACTTGCTTTTGAAATTTATAATTCTTTGTACAGATATACCAAAGAATTCTCCCCTGGACTATAAGTCCAACTCTTCATGTAGCAGTCCTTCAAAAGGCGATATCCAGAAAAATTCTGAGAGGTATGTACTATGTTACAATTTTATTAAATATTATTCAGTAACTGATGTATTCAAGATGTCAAATATAATTTTAACTCCCTTAAGTGCTTTTAATTCAAAATATGATACGTAAACTTGAGTTGAAAAAAACATTTTATTGCAGATGTTCCTTGCCATTTGGGACACCAGTGCCTGTCCTGCCCGTCCGCAACAACCTTCGTCGACCCAATTCCAGCCACTTCCCTCAGTCACGATTTCAGTTTCGGAAAGGGTTTGCTAACAAGTGCACATGGAAATGCACTGCCATTGTATTCATTATTCTTTCAGTTGTACTGACAGCAGCACTGACATACATGTCAGGTAAGCACATGCATTTTAATAATTTTGTGTAACTGAAACAATCATTAAACTTCTTTACTTGGCTTTTATTATAGGAATAACATTTTTATCGCTTTTGCTTTATTGCAGCTGCTAGTCTTTTGAATTGGTCATATCAAAGTGCCAAAGCTTGTGTTCTTGTGGAAGGAAATCCTGAAGTTTTACCCAAAGTAACAACAGAGGCAAACCGTACAACCCCCCGTGTACGACCCACAGGAGGTAAATTTGCTGACTTGCCTCAAGTAGACTCCATGCACAATCACATTCGTTGGCGTAGAAGTGTTAACCAGCATGCAACCCCTTCACACTTGAATGTTGTTGTTAAGGATCCTCCTCATGGTATCCATCAAGGTCATGAATCTGTAGATGTTGATGTCATGCATGACGCAGACCTAACTCTTTCCTCCAGTTCTCTGCATGAGACTTTGAATACGTCTGTTTCTGTCAAGACAAATGAGACTTCTACATCTTCTGAAGGAGGGCTTCCAGTTTCTGAGCATGTTGTCTCTGTTCCACTAAATGTGAGTGATATCATCAGTAATATGAGCAAGTCTGAGAAGTTGCAAGATATTCAAGAAAACTCAAACAGTACAAACAACGATCCTCAGGTAGATAAAGGGCAGCATGAAATTGATGTCCAACATGATTACCCCGTGTTTGCATATGGCCAACCAGAGGTAGAGATAGTAAAACTACTACATGATAGCCATGAATCAGTGACTCTGAAGACAGGACCTGGAGTACCACCCCACACAAGTCCTGATGCAAATCGCCTTACTAATGATGTAAAAGAAATCATTCCTGCAATAAGTGTAAATCCTTCAAAAGAAGTACATTTAACAGATGATACTGAAGGAGATGATAGTGATAATTATGAAGAAGATAATAAAACAGAACGATACGTTAAAGAAAAAATTGTACCAAAATCTTTAGCATCTTCTACTGCTTCTCCTTTGTATATGCAAGAAAGCACAACTGTACAATATAAAAATGAAGCACAAAACATAAATATTCCTACTACCATAGATAACCCACCTCATAGCAATCACTCTGAACATCCCAAAGACATAGAAGCTGCCTCTGATGATGTGCATGAAAGCGTTCAGCATGAAACCAAATTAACTTTGCATTCTGAAACTGCCCACGACTCTAATGATTCTGTGAGTGGTATGAAAGATGTCAATCTAACAGCTTTGCCAAGAGTGGAAGTTTTATCGCTTACTCGTGAAGTGAACGTCTCTAGTCGTCATGCCAAGAGAGTGCTTGTTAATGTAACTATTGCGACAGAAGATGATAGCAATAATGCCACTAATCCTAAATCTGGTTCGCATCAGCCAGTGTATGTATTATCTGTGTCTGTTCCTACAGATGGAGATGCCAGTAATATAGCAAATATAGATATTATACCTCCAGCTCAAAGTAGGGTATCTGGGATTGAGACACATTCACAAACCAAAATGGCAGATGCCAGTGGTTCAACACAGAATGTGGTTTCTCCCCCACTTGCTCTTACTCTGGAAAATAATTATTTTTCATCTTCTCTGTCAAAGCAAAGTTCAGTCAGTGTTCCCACTACAACTTATTCTCCAACAATACCCCCAACACTACCTGATTTTCCTTGGGGTGCTGTGTGTGAGTGTTCATGCCCCTGCATGGAAGAAAAATCTAACCCAGACGAATCAGATGAATTTGAATATGATGAAACCGTTTCCGACCAACCTGAAATTGTGACTGAAAATGTTACAGTTAATATCAGCACAAATGCAGAAGATGAAATAAATTACCAAGATTTCAATGAAGAAACCATGAAACTTGTTAATTCAAGTGGTTCAGACATTAACGGAGGACTATCAGTAGACCCTTCAACCACCATAATCCCTGAGAGTGATTCAACTGACTCTTTTACTACTGAAGAGACAATGACATCTGAGGACTCTCTGGTTACTACCTCTTCCCCTTCCCTAGACCACTCTGCGACTCCTGTGTCTAGTGAAGAAGAAAATATGACACTTTCTTCAACTGAGGTGTCCAGTGCAGTGAGTAGCAGCTGGGACTGCCCGGTTGTGACCCCTCCTCCACCAGTCATCTTGATTCTTGAAGGTGAGGCAATGTCTTCTGCTGTATCAAGTATAACACATACTGATGCACCAGCTACTGCCATTTAACAGTGAGCTGTGCTTTAATGGTAACAACAAAACAGAGAAATAAAAAGATATTTTATTTACACACTCAATATTAAGAAAATGTAGGTAGTATAGACCTACATAATTCATGCGTAAAAACTATTTTATATAATTATGAAAATTTAATTTTGTGTGTGAAGAAAATATCTGATGAGTGTATCTCTCACATTAGTGACTCACTTCTAGTTGCTTGAGTAACTATTAAAATCCTTCAATGTTTAGTAACAAACTATAAATAGTGGCTTGAAATTGTTTGTGTTGTTTATGCATGTTAAAATATGCATGTACTATTGTTGCATAAGGAATGGTAATGACCCTTCTTTCCCTTGCTCTCACAGAGTAGGCATAGTCTAGCATGAGTTAGGAACTAATTAATAGAAATTATTGTAGTTAGAATTGATTTCATATACCAATTGGAATTATTCTATATGCTATACTAAGAAAATCCTTGACTCAACACTAAATTCTCAGCGTTATCCTTTAAATGTTAATGACCACTCTTATTAAATATTTTCTTAGAAATGTTGAATTACATACTGGAATTATTTTTTCTTTCTTATTCTGTAGTGCATTTATTGAATTTTATTCTTATTGAAAACTGGTAATTGTTGGAGGAAATTGTTAAATTTTAACATGAAATGTGCTTTGTTAATCTTCAATGTATTGCTTTTTGTAGTGATAATAAATGTATAACAAGTTATATTATCTATTGCAGCTTCACAGATTAAGATTATGTTAACATACGATATACAGACATCTGACCTAACATTTACGGCTTGGAAAAAAATAATACCTCATGCAAATGCTTCTTATTTTAAAATAATAACACATGTGTGAAAATTACTGAGTGCCTTAATGAATGCATTGATTAATGGTGATTGTGAGTTATGCAGATTGGAAGGTATTTTACTGAAAATTTGTGGAAATTCACTTACAGGCCCTAAAACATTTCCTGCAAGACTTTTCCCACCTGATGGAACAACGTTTTCTCAAATATCTTTGGGTCAAAAACTCTCAAAGGAAATTCCACCATACAGTTACTGGAATATGCAGTTTTATCAGTCTGAAGCAGCCTATGTTAAATTTGATTATAACATCCCACGAGGTGCTAGTATAGGTGTATATGCTCGTCGAAATGCTCTGCCCACTCACACTCAATATGATATTCTGGAAGTACTTAGTGGTTTTAAAGTCCGTGGTACAAGAGGATCACATGTAAGTTTTCACAGAGATTAAACACTAAACTAAATCGAGATTAATATGTAATTGTCAGTTATCATGTGTTGTATTTTATATTGTTTTAACAGCCTACAGTCAAGAAAGAAGTGACACATTTCATGGAACAAGGTCATTGGTTTCTTTCTCTTTACAATGACGATGGAGATGCTCAAGAAGTGTCCTTTGTGACCGTTGTTGCTGAAGACATGACTCAAAATTGTCCCAATGGCTGTAGTGGAAAGGGGGAATGCCTTTTGGGACATTGCCAATGCAACCCTGGATTTGGTGGGGATGATTGCAGTGAAAGTAAGACATCCACTTGATTTGTTTTAAATCAGTTCAATCGTCAACTTTCTCAGCATTTCACATTCAAAAAATGTCCATAAAAAAATTAAAAAATAATTTCATGGGTTCTTCTGTACAGGTGTCTGCCCAGTTCTTTGCAGTCAAAGAGGTGAATATATAAATGGTGAATGTCAATGCAATCCAGGATGGAAAGGGAAAGAATGTAATCTTAGACACGATGAATGTGAAGTTCCTGATTGCAATGGGCATGGTCACTGTGTTAATGGGAAATGTGCTTGTGTTCGTGGCTATATGGGACAATTTTGTGAAGAAGGTAAGCATAGCCTATTGAAAATTTCCCTATCAAAGCAATCAGTGTTTTCATCAATTTTCTGAATATGCCCCTACCTTTAGTTAGGAGCACTTTGCATCACTATTAGCACCTGCCCAATCTTCATTCAATTAATTTTCTCAAATTATGTTATTAGAATAGTTCAATTCCACAAATGCATTATTTTGAATTAAGTTTCTTAATTAATATGTATTAATTTACCTTTCTCCAGTGGACTGCCCTCACCCCACTTGCTCTGGGCATGGATTCTGCGCTGAAGGTGTGTGTATTTGTAAAAAGGGATGGAAAGGCCCTGATTGCAGTCAAATGGATAATGATGCACTCCAGTGTCTGCCTGATTGTTCCGGTCATGGTAGTTTTGATCTAGAAACTCAAACGTGTAGTTGTGAGCCTATGTGGTCTGGTGACGATTGTTCCAGAGGTGAATTTTGAATTTTATTATTTTGGCTCTTTTTATGTCATTGTTTCAGTAGAATGATTCTTAATAAAAACAATTTTTCTCCACAGAATTGTGTGATTTGGATTGTGGGCCACATGGTCACTGTGTTGGAGATGCTTGTATGTGTGATCCAGGATGGTCAGGAGAATACTGCAATCTCAAGCAGTGTGATCCAAGGTGTGTTGTTCAGTAATTTTATTTGTTTGCAAAAGAAAAATTGTGAGTGCAATGTATCATTAACCTTGCCTATAATTAAACAGAAAGCTTTCTTAACATTCCTGACTTTACATTAACATATTTTATGTTGACAACATTTACATACTTTTTAATTTATTAGATGCAATGAGCATGGACAGTGCAAAAATGGGACTTGTTTGTGTGTAACTGGATGGAATGGCAAGCATTGCACAATGGAAGGCTGTCCCAATAGCTGTAGTGGTCACGGTCAGTGCAAAGTAAATAGTGATGGCCTGTGGGAATGCAGATGTCTTGATATATGGGATGGCAAAGACTGCAGTGTACCTCTTGAACAAAGTTGCAATGATAATCGTGATAACGACAAAGGTAAAGCTATTCTTTCAAATTTGGGGAAAAAGTGCTTAAAGGATGTTTTAAATTTATATTTCTGTTTAGACCACCTGAACAAAGATTGTAAGAATTGTCATGTGTATTTCTTATTCTTTATCTTTCCAGATGTTGAGAAGATACATCTTTTAAATATTTTAACATATTTATCGAATACGATCTTGTACTTTAGAAATAAATAAATTTAATTAAATGACAATCATTTATAACTTTATGCTGGTTGTTTGTTTACAGATGGCCTTGTTGATTGTGAAGATCCAGAATGCTGCTTCAACCACTTATGTCGCAGTAGTCAGTTGTGTGTGTCTGCACCCAAACCAATAGATATCCTTCTTCGAAAACAGCCTCCAGCTATTACAGCCTCATTTTTTGAAAGAATGAAGTTCTTAATAGAAGAAGGCGGTCTTCAGAACTATGCACGGCCAGAGAGTTTTAATGAGAGGTAGGTTATATTACTGAATAATTTACTATTACTCTGAAGTACATTTGGCAGAACCAATTGGTTTTTGATCACTTGTGACCATATGTCTGTGATGTTACTTCTTCTGTGTCCCTATCTCCTTAATTCAGTACAGGCTACTTTTCATATTATCTGCATTGTTGTGCCCCACGTGATATCACTGTCCCAAGTTTTTATATATTTATTCATGTATGTAAGTGTGTGGAGTGTGAGTGTTGGTTTCTTTCACGTTTCTAGCACAATTAGTTGCTTATTGCAATGAGTACCAATTTCGCTTTTATGAAAATTATTTATAATTATTGAAAAATAGTAATGTGGAATAACAAAAGCGGTTAATTGTGCTGCCATGTCTTGTGATGTGCATGAAGTGTGTGATGTTCCAGAAGTTTTTAAATTTTTTGTTGGCCATCAAGAAGGGGATATTGGTATACTGTGTTGATTTATTGTTTTTTGTAAATGTCTCAGTGATGTGTTTGTAATGTGAAAATTGTGTGAACTATGTTTGAGAAACAAAGCCATTTCATATGGACATTGTTTCTTGACTAGTTTTGTAGCTTACATTGTATTGTAGAACCTCTACTTGTGTACATGTCTTATGAAATGTACATGCATGAGATGTACAGTATTACTTGTTGAAGTCTCCAATAGCCATGACTGAACCGTTTTGGAAGATATTTTTTCTTAAATAAAAATCTGACATTTTAATAAGAAATTAAAAATTTTAGTTAATGTCATCAGTCGCACATGTGATAATGATTTATATTTCACATGTGCGGAATGAAATAGAAATGTATTAGTCAAGGCTACATTTTATACATTGTATGTACTAAATGGTGGCTAATCGTAATGATTGTTTACTTGTGATTTGTGTTAACTACATGGTTAAATGTAAAAATGTGAATGTGGCATGAATTATGAGATATAGTAGAGGTTCTACTTTGTGTTTCAGAGGCATATTCAGATGTTTTTGGTCATTGAAATTAACTTCTGAGCATGCTATAGACTGCTTGCAAAGAATATTAAATATGGTTGTACGTTGTTCTTTTTTTTTTTTTAATTTATTTTTTCCCCCAATATTTTTCAAATTTTTGCCGTTTTATATTTCACCTCTTTACCAATCAAGATTTGATTTTATTTTGCTTCATCTGTAAATTTTTCTAATTCAGACATCAGGAAATAGAAATTCAAATAGATAATAGGGCTATAACTCTCTACATTTCTTCTTAAGTCTTTTCAAAAAAGTGCTTGTGAACAAATTTTTATGGAAAGGTCAAAATGTTATACGCTGTCTATGCCTCTGCTGTGTTTCTCTCTGGACGATGTTAACTGTGGTGGCTTCTGTTTCTCTCCGTGCTGCTCAGTGTTTTCTGGAACCACTTCAACACCAGGTAAGGTTATGGAAGCACGCAACTTGCCTGATTATCGATGTTTTGTATACTACAGTTTTGTGCTGGTTGTCACACGTGATTTTGAAAGTATTGATGGTGGACTTATTTACGTATATGTTTATTTACAGGATAAAAGCTTTTTTGTAGTACATATCCATGTAGTGTATGAGATTTGTATTTGTTGCATGGTTAAGTTTTTATGCCCCATCATTGTGTTCCGTGACTTTTAAGTTGGCTTCATATTTGTGAAACACATAGAAAGTGTCTGTTTCCATGGTGAAAGAAAAGTTAGTTTAGATCTAGTTTATATCCAGTCTATGTTGTTTCTTTGTTTTCTTCTAAATTGTACTTATGTGTTTCTATCTTCAAATTTTTTTATAAAAGTAATATATGTATAATAAGATCAGATGCATTGATTTAAACAGCATTAAATAGTTTAGAGTAATCACAATATTGTATATTCCTATTCAATTTTCTGCCACAATTGTTTTGTAGATACATGTAACGATATTCAAAGAGTCTTTTTTTTTCTCTATCTTTTTGGTGAATAAACTAAATATTTTATGAAGCATTAAATTGTAGATTAAAAACTGGCACTTTTAATGGATAAAAAGTAGATATATTTCAATTATTGACTCAAATTCACAAATTTTTATCGTCATGTATAGAACATGAAATTTTTTCATAAATTCAAAAAGTTACAAAGGGTTGGTTATGCTAAAGAATAACTATAATTGTATTATTTTATTTTTTAAGAGAAAGATGATGACCATCCTTCCTTTACTTTCAGTCGATCTGCTGTGGTGCGAGGGCGTGTAGTTACAGCAATGGGCATGGGACTTATGGGGGTGCGAGTAAGCACAAGCACAACTCTTGAAGGATTCACGCTGACTCGTGAAGATGGCTGGTTTGATTTGTTAGTGAATGGTGGGGGTGCTGTCACTCTGCAATTTGGTCGAAGTCCCTTTCGACCTCAAAGTCATATAGTAAATGTTCCCTGGAATGAGGTATGTTGACAAAAGAACCACAATAGGAATAAAGTTTACTTTTATGTTGCCAGAAGAGATGCACAAGAAAATATTATGTATGTATTCACAGGTTGTTATCATTGAGACAATTGTGATGGGCACCGGAGACGATAAAAATGTTCCGCATACTCCTCACTCTTGTGCAGCTCATGATTATGATCTCATGAAACCTGTTGTGTTGGCTACATGGAAACATGGGTTCCAAGGAGCATGTCCTGATAAGAGTGCAATTTTAGCTGAATCACAGGTGAATATTCAAAATGTTTCATAGTGTTGTGAGTATTCATAATGTTTAGCCCAAATAATTACACTGAATATTTTAAATACCTTCAGTTTTTATTATAAAAGTAATTCTCACATTACGTTATCGTCAAACTAATTTTGTACCTATACAGATGATACATTTATACACATAATACAATTTAATACAATGTTTTGTGTTCAAACAATTGTCTTTCCTTTAAGACGAATATGTATTAACATTCATAAATATTTTCATTTTCTGTTATTTTAATGGGTATATAATTGGATTAATGGATTTTTAAATTCATACTTTATAATTTTCAATAAGAATGCAATTTTCAGCACATATTGCTTTTATTTGATAGGTTGTCCAAGAAAGTTTACAAATACCAGGCACGGGGCTGAATCTTGTATATCATAGTTCACGAGCAGCTGGTTACCTTTCAACCATTCAGCTTCAGCTTACTCCTGAAACAATTCCTTCCTCCTTAAAACTTATTCACCTACGTATTACAATTGAAGGAATACTTTTTGAGAAGACGTTTGAAGCTGACCCAGTGATTAAATTCACATATGCTTGGAACAGACTGAATGTTTACAGGTATAAATTCTTTCTCCATTTATTTTTGTACTAAAAAAAGTGTCAGTTGTGCCTTTTGTCACATAATTGTGGTTACTTTTTGTAATTTTTGCTGTACTTAAATGAGGTCATTTTTCCTTGCAGGCAACGAGTCTATGGTGTTACTACAGCAATGGTCAAAGTTGGATATGAATATAATGACTGTAAAGATATAATTTGGGATGTACAGACCACTAAATTGAGTGGCCATGACATGGGTATTTCAGAAGTGGGAGGCTGGAATCTTGATATTCATCATAGATACAATTTTCATGAAGGTATCACTGAAGTTCTACTAAATGGTTGACAATTAACTTCTATTTATTTTGGACTTGTAACTCCTTTTACATGCTTATGTCAATATTCCAATTTATATTTGCAGGTATTCTTCAGAAAGGTGACGGTTCAAATATTTATTTGAAACATAAACCACGAGTTATTCTTACCACAATGGGAGATGGTCATCAACGTCCTCTTGATTGCTTTGACTGTGACGGGCAAGCTTCAAAGCAAAGGCTTCTGGCTCCAGTCGCCCTTGCTGCATCACCAGATGGTTCCATTTTTGTAGGAGATTTCAATCTTGTTCGTCGTATCCTGGTCGATGGCACTGTTAGAACTATTGTTCGACTCAAGTAAGTATTATAATTTTTTAATAATAAACCTTCTTAAGTGATGTTTCTACATTATTGAAACCCTTATTTCCAGCGCTACCCGGGTGTCATATCGGTATCACTTGGCTCTCAGTCCACTTGATGGAGTGCTATATATTTCTGATCCTGAATCTCACCAAATCATTCGGGTTCGAAATGTAGATGACTATTCAGATCCAGATCACAACTGGGAAACTGCAGTGGGATCAGGAGAGCGCTGTCTTCCTGGTGATGAAGCACACTGTGGTGATGGAGCCTTAGCCAGAGATGCGAAACTCGCATATCCTAAAGGTATGGGCCTTGAATTTAATTTCAGGACTCGCACATTATACCACACAGTTAAAAAATAGTTGTTTCACTAAATGTAGTGGCATATATTAGTAATCCCTCTTTCATTCAAAATATGTTTCAATTTTTTTGTAAGTGATAGTTGGAAAAATGTCTACATCCAGAATCTTTTTTTTTTTTTGATAGATTTTGCACAAACTGGCATTGGGAGGGGGGAGGAATTGATTGGGAGCTCTAACAATTTTTTTTCATCCAAATCATATAAAAAATATATTCACTTGTTATTCAAATTCACCTCTGTAAGCTATTTTTGTCACATGGACAGATGAATTCTGATTATATATTGAGGCGGGCAACATTTGTTTGAATAAAGAAGGGACCCCAAGGATCTACTGCCCTAGGCTCACATTACATAAATTCTTATAATCTTTTTAGATTATTTCCTATATTTTTTAGTGTTTTTGTAGTGTATTATAAATTATCATGTCTGACCTGAAACATATTTCTTATTACTGAACAATGTTAATTTGTTTTGTCTTTTCAGGAGTTGCAGTGTCAGCTGATAATGTACTTTATTTTGCTGATGGAACAAACATTCGCATGGTAGATCGTGATGGCATTGTGACAACAGTTATTGGAAATCATATGCATAAATCCCATTGGAAACCTATCCCATGTGAAGGAACATTAAATGTGGAAGAGGTAAGAAGGCACTATTCCAAAGATAATGTAACGTGTAATGTACTTGTGTCTGATTTAAATATGTGGAGTCGCAGATCAAAGAGTATTAACTTTCTAAGAGTTCTTTTTGTGTATGGTTTAGAGAGACTTTGGTGCTATCTGCAGAGACAAAAGAACGGATTGGCAGACATTTTGAAAACTAATGAAACCTTTTTTGGTATGATCACCAAAAAGTGTGAAAATCTCTACATAGATTATTTGCAGCATCATAACTTCTATACTACACATATCAAAAAAATAACTAGTGGTGCTACAAAATTGCACAGACTTTCTCGTTCAAGTTGAGTTGGTTCCTCTTTCTTTTGAGTCAGGGCAAGGAATTATGAATGATTCAAGGTATTGATAGCACAAGAGAATGGAAATGGCTCTCACCACAGACACAACAAAAAAACATTCATGCTTTGCGTGGGTTTCGTAACAACAGTTTTTTTGTCTGCGCACTTGCACAAGAATATTTGAAGAAATAGAAATAAGAAAAACGTGATAATAATATTACTATTTACTATTTGGTTTACTATTTAATCAGTACTATTTGATTTTAAATTTTAAAAAAAGCAATAAATAATTGTTGAATTCAATGTTACAAAACAATGAAGGATTAATACAACATATTTTTCATTTTATTGTACAGAGTGAACATTAGAATTTAAATGAAAAAATCTTGATATCAATTTACAAATTAAATATGTATTTAATCATATAACAGCTCGTATAGTCACGTTCACAGTTCGAGTGATCTGCAGAAGCTGCTGCTGAACAACTCAACATAAAATGGCTTTCCAAAAAGTATCTCCCACATTGCTCATGAGTAACAAATAAAATACTTTCATATAGCACTACTATTAATAAAATTTGTTAATAAAAACTGACTTCACTGCAGTAATGTAGAATACTGAACACAGATACATAGTGCAACAGTTCTTTACAAACCAAGAATATCAAAAATGTTGCTGTTGCATATCGTAACATGTGACTAGGAAATATTAAAAGTTAGGCGGCATCTTCCTTGAGGCCTTGCTGTCGCGTGTCAACTGTTTCGTAAGTAATGACGCAGCGAGTATGATAATTCAATCGGTACGTTCAGTATGATAATAGGCGGTATAACATACTAAAATATTTTCATTTTAATACCAAATAGAATAATTTTTTGTTTTTGGATTTTTGCCAATGTCGAAGGTGCCCAACCAAGCCATAGACACCTCTCGTAAGACCGGAGGCTACATAATATTTTTTTTTCTTTAAATTCGGCATGCATTGGAAATAAGTAATGTAGATTCTACAGTTTTCTATTTTTGAAAATCGGTCCACTTCTGTCCATACAATATCATTTTGAATGTAATAACTCCAATCTGATAAATCTTTTCACAAGCATTGTTTCTCGAAGACAAGTTTTCATGCAACATAACGACGAGAAAGAAAGTTCAATACTTACATTTGTTTGTGTCGTAGTACGAAAAATCTCTAGAAAATTATTAATTATGAATATATGTATAACATATTTTCCAAGAGTTATCTAGAATAGAATGTAGGTTTTGCCTCTTATGCTTCCCGCTCCATTTCCAAGTGGGCTCTGACGTTGGGAGCCTTCGACGCAGCGCAGGTCGCGTGCTGCGCCGCGCAGGCTGGCCGAGGACACGAGGGCAGTCGCTTTTCTGAAAACAGCCCGGGGTCGGCCTTTCGGGAATCACACACTTCCCCCAACTCAGCTCAACGGAATGACCAACCGTTTGTTGCGACCTAAGGGCGTCTTTCCCAGCTCCCACACGCAGCCACTGCCATTCCTCATTCCACGCGACGCCGGTCCTTCAGGCAGATGCACGTCGGACTCCTGTGAGGAAATGATTTCTCTTCCTTTTATTAGTCCATGAAAAGGGAAGGAACACATTTCGAAATTAGAGCAGCCCACGCTTTATATTTTTCACGTTTGTTCGAATTCTCTTCACTTTCCGTATTGACGGGTATTTTTCTATCTCTGTAATAAAATCTTAAGTATTCGCTTTCAAAATGCCCCAAACGTATGCAAGCGAGCGGCACTTATCAACTGCGACTGCTATCTGTACGACTTCCACAGTCTACGCGTCTTATCGGCAGCTGTGGCGCGTCTGAGTGCCCCGGTGTGAGGGCTGTCATTTAAAAGTGCCTCTGCTGGCGGGGGGCGGGGGGGGGGCGCATGTCCGGAGTTCGCCATAGCAGCGACTCCGCCGCCCCTCGGATCCCACCACTTCGCCGATGCTTTGCGAGCACTCGCGGTGACAGTGGACTTCAAGATCCAGGGCCTCTAAGCGACCCCAGCTTTTTAGTCATTGAACAGAAAAACAGACAAAATATTTAATATGTTTTGTCTATTTTTAGAGGCTTCCCTCCGAAAAAAAAATAGTTGTTTAAAATTCAAGGGGCCGCGACAGTCAGCTTGAGGAACAGCAATTTTGGTGACAATCCTGCTTTCGGTTTAGCCGCTAGCGTTGTTCACATACAGACGGACGGACAGACGTTTTGTCGTCCATCGACTTTTTGGTATCAAGCACCCACAAAACATGAATTCTGTTACAGGAAGTAATTTACTATATGTAAGGGCAAGATTTATCCACTTTTTCGTTACCAGGGTCCGGCAATAAGAGTTTTTGTGTCGAAAATTCACTGTTTTTCTCCACAGCGTTACGATAATTTCTTTATAGCACTTAAACTATAGAGAGAAAGTATATACGTAAGTATAGGTTTTACTAATGTTTTATAGTAATGAAAGTCATTCGATGTGATTGATATTTATAAAGCAAAGCATTTACATATCTAAAGCAACAAAGAAAAATTCGTGATATACTCGTATTGAGGATAAATGTAAAATCCTTTATGTGAAAACATCAAGTCAGCTGAACTCTAGGCCTCGAGAGATTGCGGATGAGGGGATGTAGGAATTGGAATAGAAAGAAATGTGAGTCCACATCGTCATTGCCGAGACATCTCCCCGAACCTCCTCTCTGCAAGAACGTATTCCCCTTTCAAGCAGAAAATTCGCAGAGGACCGTCATTTAATCGACATACCATGCAAAAATGTTGGGGAAGATTACATTTTCCATAACATACTTATGCATATGCATCTTAAAGCAGGCCGTTTATTGATTGTGAAACGCCGTGAGGGTCAGTGTTTACTAGTCTTACCAATATACTATCCAATCTATCCCTATCTTTCGTTCATCGACGATTTATAGAAAGCGTAATGGGAAGAGAACACTAATAGATGACTTACTCATTAACGGAAAAATTGAGGTAACGAACTTTGACTTCCCGAAATTCACGTTTCAATCACATCACTCACATAAAATGTACGTAATATCAGAAAATTATATCTTTAACTAGTTTTAAATCACACTTGAAAGAAACTCAAGCTCTCCGCCGTTCGCATGAAGTGTGTAATCAACTGAGAACCCAGAATGGAATTCATCTGCACTCTCATCGCAGCTGGGCCTGCATCAGCAATGTAAGCCACCGGGCCCGGTTTGCCGTTCACGTACCCTGGGAAGCAGCGAAGCCGTCCTAACTGTGTGCGTATTCTCGAAATCAGTGCACCAAGGTCACTCTTTGGGTGGAAAGGTGACTCTGGTTTTCCACAGTGGCGTCGATTCCTACGTTGCACGTTCCACTAGTAAAATAATTAATAAGTTGCTTTCCCATTTTGCTTATTGATGCCCCTATTGTATTTTATTACTATCATCTGGGGCTCGCTGAGATTGAACCCCTCGCCAGCTGCCCGGTTTGACTAAGCTAATTTGCTTTTGGCTAGAAATAATTATGGTTAATACGTAGCTAGTTAATTCACGCTTTTGGAGAGCAATTTCTTTTAGATGGTGTGGAGATTAAATCTTGTACACTGAAGAGCCAATAAAAATGGTACACTTGGCTAATATCGTGTAGGCCCCCACAAGCACGCAGAAGTGCCACAACACAACATGGCATGGACTCTACTAATGTCTGAAGTAGTGCTGGAGGTAATTAACACCGTGAATCCTGCAGGGCTGTCCATAAACTCGTAAGAGTAATAGAGGGTGGAAATGTCTTCTGAAAAGCACGTTGCGAGGCATCCCAGATATGCTCAATAACGATCATGTCTGGAGATTTTGGTGGCCAGTGGAAATGTTTAAATTCAGAAGTGTTCCTGGAGCCACTCTGTAGCAATTCTGGACGTGTGGGTTGTCGCATTGTCCTGCTGGAATTGTCCTAGTCTGTCGGGATGCACTATGCATATAAATAGGTGCAGGCGATCAGACAGGATGCTTACGTACGTGCCACCTGTATCTAGAAGTTTCAGGGGTCCCATATCACTCCAACTGCACACGCCCCGTTCCATGACAAGAGCATCCACCAGCTTGAACAGTTCCCTGCTGACATGCAGGGTCCATGGATTCATGAATTTGGCGCCATACTCCTACACGTCCATCCGCTCACAACAATGTGAAACGAGACTTATCAGACCAGGCAACGTGTTCCCAGTCATCAAACCAAAAGTCCAATGTCGGTGTTGAAGAGCCCAGGAGAGGCGTAAAGCTATGTGTAAAAAGTACACGAGTGAGCCTTCGGCCCCGAAACCTATAATATAAAAATATATAATTATATATATATATTATATATATATAGAGAGAGAGAGAGAGAGAGAGAGAGAGAGAGAGAGAGATTATTTCTGCAGGTAGGTTTATACAACCTGGTGGCAGAACAGTTAACCTCCATGCACTCCCTTTTTGGGTGCGCCACTGGATGTCAATAAATAATAATACATAGATCTGCTTGAACCTACTCAGAAGGAAATCATAAAGTGCACCACTGCACATGACAAGTCACGAAACCAAACTACGGGGGAAAAATTAACATATTTATTCTTTTCTCCATTTTGCACCTCTTGAACTCCGTCGAGCAAGATTCTAAAATGTTTAAATTAATGACTAGTCTGTCATTGCTTTCGATGTTCTGCTGCTAGTGAACTCGTACTGTACATGACAGGCAGTGGCCTGGGAGAGCGGGCCACAAACCTATTGCCAGTGAGAGGCTCAGGGGAGGCCGAGAGCTCGGACCTCGGCAGGAATGCAGGTCTCCTTGTACGTGTATGGGGATTAAATTTTGTAAATAATTTTGATGTTAATAAATTGGGTACATATTCACAAAAGGTTGATTTTTAACCTGTCTGCGATTCCTTTCCTTCATACAATTAAGCCGGTACACAAACTTCTGCATCATCGTTAATGTTCGACATGAACTTAATATTATTTTGTAATTGAGACTTGGTTTCGTTGAAATTATCTTGTGTCAAATTGTTATTATTTGGTCTCTAAACGATAATAAATTAATAATTTCAATTTTATTGCAGGTCCATTTGCGTTGGCCAACAGAATTGGCCATCAATCCTCTGGATAATTCCCTCCATATAATAGATGACCATATGATTTTACAACTTGCTCCTGATGGTCGAGTGAAAGTTGTCGCTGGGCGTCCTTTGCACTGTCCATCGCCAATTGGAGGATACGACACTGAATTAGCCACCCATGCAACTCTGGTCATGCCGCAAAGTATTGCCTTTGGTCCGTCAGGAGATTTGTATGTTGCAGAAAGCGATTCTCAGCGTATTAACAGAGTTCGCATTATCGGTACAGATGGGAAAATTACCCATTATGCTGGAGCTGAATCAAAATGTAACTGCCTGGATCGTGGCTGTGACTGTTTTGAAGAAGATCATTTTGTAGCTTCTACATCCAAGTTTAATACAATTTCATCAGTTACAGTTACGCCAGATGGAATTTTGCATATCTGTGATCAAGCTAATTACAGAATCAGATCCGTTACTGCTAGTATACCAGATGCAAGTGTCTCCAGGGAATATGAAATATTTTCTCCTGACACTCAAGAAATATACATTTTCAATAGATTTGGCCAGCATATCGCAACTCGAAATATTCTCACTGGTGAAACAAGTTATTCATTCACATACAATGTAAACACTAGTAATGGAAAGCTCAGTACCGTGACTGACGCGGCAGGCAACAAGGTCTTCCTATTGAGAGATTATTCAAGCCAAGTGAACTCTATTGAGAACACTAAAGGCCAAAAATGCCGGCTCAGAATGTCTCGCATGAAGATGCTTCATGAGCTTAGTACACCAGATAATTACAATGTTACTTTCGATTATCACGGACCAACTGGTCTTCTTAAAACAAAGCTAGATAGCACGGGAAGAAGCTATGTATACAACTATGATGAGTTTGGTCGACTTACTTCAGCCATTACTCCGACAGGCAAAGTCATTGGTCTTTCATTTGACTTGAGTGTGAAAGGAGCAACCGTTCAAGTGGTCCAAAATGGCCGAAAACCTGTATCAATGCTCATCAAAGGATCTAGTGTTGTTACCAAATATGGTAAGTTTTGAAACGACTAATTAAAGATGATTAATTATTAAGATAAACTTCATTTAATGGTGTTTTAAATTGTGCGACATTTCTGTTCTGTTGCAGGAGAAGCAGAGTATCGCACTGTTGTCCTTCCTGATGGAGGAGTAGCGAGTGCTGCCCCTTGGTCGCACAGTGTCAGTACTGATACTGTTCCTTACACTGTTCTCTCAGACATTGATCCTGTTCTGGGCGAGAGTTTCCCAGTACCAGCCAAACAAAAGACAGAGATTTCTGGTGATCTCGCCAATAGGTTTGAGTGGAGGTACTTTCTCAGAAGGGCCCAAGGAAGCGGAGGAAAGCCAGGTCGGGGAGGAAACAAGCCTGTGGTACAAGTTGGGCGCAAATTAAGAGTTAATGGTGAAAATCTGTTGACAATGGAATATGACAGGGAGACAGGCACTGTAGCAGTTTTTATGGACGACAGAGTGGAACTTCTGAACGTAACATACGATCGCACAGCACGTCCAGTCAAATGGGGACCAAGGTAAATCTGCAATAACAGTTTAATCTAATATAGAAAAATCCATGTTCGTTTGTTCGTACATAATACGCTTCCATACCGTTCGTCCGATTGCAATAAACCTTTTTCAACTTACTGCTTGCACTTGCGCGAAGGATATAGGAGTATCAGAATAGAAATGTGATTATGTTTGTCGCTGATAGATGCGCGTTAATGATTTTATGCATTTATGCTGACTCAAGTACACCTGAATAGAAACTACGCAACCCGCCGCACCCTCAAGTATTAAGCACGACTCTGCTGAATATTCGACCCCTGCGATTGTGAAATATCGAAACGAAAGTATTATTTGAAATGTTATCTCAGACAAGTAAATCAAATTTCTCCATGACAGTGTCAGAGCGTATGCATCCCCAAACTTGAGGGAAAATGTTTTAACAATAGGATACTTGACGGCCATATCTAAACCAGGACATAGAACAAACCAGTACTCACAAGAAAGTATTTGCAAAGAGTTAAGATGTTTGCAGAGGGTAGCATAAAACGTGATTAACAATCACATATCTAGTAGCGAGTGAAGTGTAATACATTGCAATAGCGAAGCGTTGTCGGGTTCTCTATTCATAATCATATTAATAATAATAATAATAATAACAACAACAACAACAACAACAACAACAACAACTACAACAATACTTATTTTTAAAAAGCAATGAAAAATGTTAGTGTTTCAATGAAAGTATCATTGAATTAGTTGAATAATATGTTTTTTGTTCTCAGGAATGGAATTTTTGCTGGAGTAGAACTTGAATACGATCGATTCAGTCGTCTCATTAAATGGAAGTGGGGTGCTTTAAATGAGAGTTACGAATTTGATAGAGCAGGAAGATTATACCAGATCCGCTATGGAGATGGTTCATCTATGATATATGCTTTTAAGGATATGTTCAGCAGCTTGGTAAGAATATTATTCAAATTAAAGAAAATAGAATTTAATGAAATATCACACAGCCCATACACACACGTGTTTCACATAGAACTAACTGATGTACTTTGTATTCCAGCCTCTGAAGGTGACTACTCCCCGTGGCAGTGACTATTTGTTGCAGTATGATGAAGCAGGTGCATTGCAGTCTTTGACCACACCAAGAGGGCATATTCACGCTTTCTCTCTTCAAACTTCACTCGGATTTTTTAAGTACCAATACTTCTCTCCAATGAACAGACATCCTTATGAAATTATGTACAATGATGATGGGCAAATATTAGCCAAAGTTTATCCTCATCAATCTGGAAAAGTTGCTTATGTCTACGATCACAGTGGAAAATTAGAAACAATACTCGCTGGTCTCTCATCCACCCATTACATTTACATTGAAAGTTCCAGTCTTGTCAAGAGCATTGATATTATAGAACCAAACTTTGAATTAAAGATGGAATATAAATATCATGCAGGCATATTAAAAGATGAAAAACTCAAGTTTGGAAGTAAGAGTGGATTAGATAATTGTCATTTTCGATATCAATATGATGGTAATGCTAGAATTTCTGGAATTGATGTGGAAATTAATGGCAAAGAGTTGCCTCAGTTGAGAGTGAAGTATAACCAGAATTTGGGTATGTTAGAAGGAGTGAGTGATTTAAGAATATATCGCAATACATTCAATAGATCAGTTATGCAAGACACAAGCAAACAGTTCTTTACAATTACTGATTTTGATAGTCATGGTCGAATTAAATCTCTTCTTATTAACATTAAAACATTTGATGTGTACCGAATGGAGCTAGAATATGACAATCGCAACAGAATAAGCTCCCAAAAGCTCATGATCGGAAGACAAGTATACATGGATCATATAACATATAACGCTGATGGCCATGTTATGGAAGTTGTTGGTGACAGTAACTGGAAATATGTGTATGATGAAAATGGCAATGTCATAGGTGTGATTGAACAAGGAGATAAGATAACTTTAGGATATGATAGTGGTGACAGGGTAGTGCAGTACGGTGATGTAGAGTTCAACAGCTATGATGGAAGAGGATTTGTGGTCCGAAGAGGTGAACAGAAATACAGATATAATTCACGAGCCCAACTTATACATGCATTCGAACGAGACAAGTTCCAGACATGGTATTTCTATGACGACAGAGGTCGTCTTGTTTCATGGCATGATGAACGAGGAAATGTTACCCAGTTTTTGTATGCGAATCCTACTACTCCAGATCTGATTTCTCATGTTCATTTTCCAAAATCTGGTCGAACATTCAGACTTTTATATGATGAGAGACATATTCTTATCACAGTTGAGACATCAGAACAGCGGTTCTATGTAGCATCTGATCAAAATGGATCTCCACTAGCTTTGTACGATATTAATGGTAATATAATCAAAGAGATACGACGCACACCATTTGGCAAAGTAACCAAAGATTCAAATCCAGATTTCTATCTCCCAGTTGATTTCCATGGAGGTTTGCTTGACCCAAACACTGGGTTGGTATATCTAAATAAGCGTCTTTATGATCCTGCTGTGGGCCAGTGGATGACACCAGCTTGGGAAGAACTGGCCAATAAGTTAACTACACCAACAGATGTGTTTATCTACAGATTCAACAATAATGATCCCATTAATCCTAGGCATAATACAAAGTACATGACAGGTAAGTCGTCACAAATATTTCTATTTCAAATAATTTGTGCTATAACCATTCTGGTTCAAATCTTATTGTTTCACTTTTCCTTTATTTCAGATCTCCCAAGTTGGTTGAAATTGTATGGATATGATATTGATGACATGTTGGGTTCAGCTTATACATCCAGTATGGTTTATCAGCCACATGCTGTGATAACATCGAAACAGCTTTCACCAGATTTTGGAGTTATGTCAGGCTTACAGTGCATTGTAGATAAAGTCAACGAAAAATTCCGTGATCTTGGTTTCATTCCCAAGCCCCTTCTGAAGATGGAGCCCAAGACAAGAAATCTTTTGCCCAGAGTAGCATACAGACGAGCTGTATTTGGAGAAGGAGTATTAATATCACGAGTATCAGGTCGTGCCATGGTGAGTGTTGTAGAAGGTGTGAACAGTGTCGTCCAAGATGTTGTGACATCGGTATTTAATAATTCGTACTTTCTGGATCTTCACTTTACTTTACATGATCAAGATGTATTTTATTTTGTCAAAGACAATGTGTTAAAAATTAGAGATGATCAAGAAGAACTAAGAAGACTGGGAGGCATGTTTAATATTTCTGCACATGAAACATCTGAGCATGGATCGGGTGGCACCAAGGAACTTCGCTTGCATAATCCTGATGCAGCAGTGTTCATTAGGTATGGTGCTGATCCTGAACAGGAGAGGCATAGAATTCTTAAACATGCCCACAAAAGGGCCGTTGAGAGAGCTTGGGAATTGGAGAAACAATTAGTAACAGCGGGATTTCAAGGCAGAGGAGAATGGACAGAAGAAGAGAAGGAAGAACTAATACTACATGGTGATGTTGATGGTTATGAAGGTGTGGACATCCACAGCGTTCATCGTTACCCACAGTTAGCTGATGATCCTGGCAATGTAGCCTTTCAAAGAGATACAAAGCGCAAACGAAGGAAGAGTGGGAATAGACGGTCACGATCGCACAGGCATGAATCGTGATTCTGTTCCTTTAATGAACTATGGTTGTTTCTCTGCTAAAGATGTGAATAAATCATGATAATTGTCAGGTAAATTACTTTCTTTCTGAGTCTTAATGCTCAGTAATAGAAAGTGTTTCACATCTATCCCTTCATATGCAGTTATATATAGAAGTACAAGGAGAACAGGCAACATGTATCCTCCTTAGATTACAATATGAAATGTTAAGACTTGTACAGTTATGACTAGTCACTCTTTATGGTCCATAGTTAATTGACATTATGAAATAATGAAGTGTGATTGACATAAAATGGAGATCAAAACAGACACAAAGTGATTGTGGCTAATCATGTGTGCTACTTGAACACTGTTCATCAAGTGACCAAAGTGGAAACGCAAATATTGTGATTCTATTATTAAATTGAACTGTATTTTTTAAAACTGTGTAGCTTACAGAAGATGTCAAAGTGAGATGAATGGAATTTTGTCTCTTGCATGAGTGAACAATGAAAAAATGAAGTTAACTTGTAGTAGGAAAGGTTTGTAAAACTGTAAATACCATGACATTTTTCTCTCAAGGTGGATGTCTTGAGATAAAAAATTGATTTGTAAATCCTTCCATGAAACCAATGCATTACTCTTGGAGGAAGGAAATACCAGGACTTTTCATAATTTCTCCTAAATTGTGAATATTTTAACACATATTGTAGAGGCCTATGACTGTTTTTGGAGCCAAGACTGGGCATGTGTACTAGCTGAAATCAACAGTGCATGGCAATATTTGGGAAAAGGATTGGGGGGAAAAGTATCTTAAGAAATTTGATTAATAGCATAATCCATGATATTAAGAAACAGGGTAGTTACCGGACTAATTCATATTATTATATGAAACAAGGGGAAAGAGCAAAAATGACACAATGTAAATTGCTGGCACGATGTTACTCGCATAATACGTACATGTCAAATACTTATTTTATGAATGAAGGTGTGTATGGGTGCTTTTTTTAAGGAGTATGAGGTATGTGAGCATTACCAATTATGATAGTTGTATTAACAAGAGATGAGTATATAAAATATATAACTAACAAGCTTTTTATAGTGAGTACTTCACAGGATATTGTACATATTACAGACACGAGAAGAACTGTTCCTTGTTGTGCTTTGGGCTCTGCCACTTTCTAGACAACTCATCTTTCAGTGTCTGTGATTTTTGCATTGCATTAGAAATAGCATGGTTGCCATTACATTTTCCAGTCTTAGGCAAAGCAAATCTAAAGGTTTTTTAATGATACAGAAGGAAATTGTGCTACTACTGAAAATGAACTGCTGAAACATTTTCCATAACAATTGCTAGGACATAATCTGATATTGGTCTTGAAAGTTGAGGAGGAATATATTTTGATTTCCAGTTTATGGTCTGCCTTTGGTGCTTAACTATGTTAACTTAATTGTACTTGTAGCCAGTAAAAAACATACCCTATCCAGTACTTTTAATTGTAATTTGTATTTTATTTTTAACTTATTTACTGGATGTTTTTAAATTGCTCTGTTAACTTATCTATCCTGCGAGATTCTCCTGAATAATTTTAAATTCAAGACACATTGTAGAAATTCTTTAAAAATATAAAATATTTAAGTATTGAAAGTTGTGCAAAGTACAAGATGATAATTAATGTTTGGCAAATCTTTTGCATGCTCTCTTCATTTATAATGCAGAAAGAAGGGTTGAAGTATGGCGGCTTAAGCCAAATGAAAACATATTTTTTCAAAGGTTTTTACCTGACTAAAAAAGAAAGCAATACTTATTATTAACTTATATAGTTGTTTATACAACTGTGCAATTCTTGTGTACTATAGGTCTGGAAAGCAAGGCCATGGGGCTATTGTATAGATAGGCCTGGTAGTGGGTCCATATGATTCCTTTTCCACTAGTACTGTTTATTATTCATCAAGAAAACAAATGTCTGCCCTAAAATGATGTATTTATTTGGCCAGTGGCTCCTGTGTATAGAAATATTCTAGTGGTGTGTACGTTCACAAGGAATATATCTGCAAACTAACTGTACATAGACCTAATTATTAATTAAAACCATAAACGTAATACTGCAATGTTTACAATTGTATATGACGGTGTTAGTATAGAACTTGTGTACTACCTGGCTACCTACTTGACCTTTTGTTATATGTTTCTGGAACAAAGAATCTTTATCAACAAGTGAAAGAACTCCCCAGTTACTTTTAAGATGTTGACTACTCAATTGAACACTCCGTGATATACAACTCCTCATGTTAATGAGCTTATGTTCATTCAAACAAATGAGAAATACATTTTCTCATTTTATTTTATAAGTGTATTAAAAATAAGAGTTCTATATTACAGCCCTACTCTATGCCTATCATATAACGCCCCTCACTACCCTTATGCTTCGTAAGTATGGCAAATCATGATGTACATCATCATTTCTTCATACCTCATGAACTGTGAAATAAAGCAAGGACTATTCTCAATAGGAATGAAATTGCTTTCAGAATATACTATAGTACGGTATAAGCTAATAGCGTTTTGCACAATTCCATACTTTATATTTCAATTAAGTGATAAAAGTGGAACTAAATTGTAAACTGAAATTGTTATTATAAGAGCATTTGTGAAGTGCTTATCCCGTACTGAATGCCTGTGCATAGACTTTTATGAAGCACACTTGTTTACAGAGGCAACTTTACTATCAAAAATGTCCTTTGGAAACAAACATGTAGTACTATTTACTGTGTTTTAGTTATTATTCCCCATTTTCCATCAACTGTGTAGCCTCATACCTCCTCATTAATGCCTTGTTTTACCTTTGAGGCATTTAATATTGAAATGAAAGAATTAACTTCTATGACAAAGGTATTGGTAACAATGAAAAAGTAACCCAACTGACATTAAGACTAATTTTACCCTTTTTCCTTAATCCATCAGTAATCACAAGCAGTCTGAACCCACAAAGAACAAACAAACGAACTGTAACTTCTGGAGAGGGTATTCTTTGTTTTTTTAGGAGTAATTGTAGGACTGAATTGCATGTAAAACTGTTTATAATACGACAAATTTCTTAGACATGTTATTTTCAAATATCAAAATCACAAACAATTGAGATTAAAAACTAATTTAAGCTGAAGGAAAGGCAACTTTTTTGATTTAAGTTCAGTGAAATTATTGTATTGCATAACCTTTTGGAACATGTTGCCATTTGACATACAATTTTTGGAATTTTACAGAGACAAAAACACCACAACAAAATTTATCTACTATTAACCATACTGCAGGAAAACTCAGTGAAATTGACTTACCTATTAACTGTTAATTAGGTTACATTACATTTATAAATATAAGTATAAATATAAATGTAAAAATAAATTTTTTCAAAGTTCCATTGTGGTTAATAGATGGTTAACAAATCAAATTCTAAGGAAAAGTTGGTAGAAGTACACAATCACATAATTTGAATAGTAAAAATGATAAATTTCACTGAATGAATGATAAATTAAATTAATCTGACAATTTGACCTACAACGAATCAGAATTAATGGTCATGAACGAGAAATAATAATCATGTTTTATTAGGTTCACAAAAAAAAATTGAAAATTGAATAATTTGCTGGGGGGGTGGAGCGTACCAGTAACCATTCTCATGGCAAACCAATGTACCCGAATATGTTGATAATTCTAATGTTATATTTTGCTCTATTTCCCTATAAACTTATTCTGTTATTATCTAATATACACATTATGTAGAACAATATGTACAAGACAGTGAGTATGTGTGTAGCTCAAAATCAGGTAAGTGAGGTAAGTATTATGAGCGTTCATGTGCTGTATAGAAAAAAATCACAATCGTATGAAAGTACCAGAAGAACTGAAAAACAAGATTTATTTGTCTTACAAGCTTATTCTTTGATGACATTAGAGGAATAATTCTGCTTACAATTATAAGTACATTTTGCAACTGAAACTGGTCTTAGAAACCTTCTATTCCAAACTGTTAATGGCTCAAATATGTGATTGATTCCATCTATATTTACATTCTTTAGCTTAAACTAGTGTTGCCAAATTGTTCATACAAAACCCATAAAAATCAAATTCTGGCAAGGTGGAAAATCTGTATTGAGCACTGCTGCATACTCTTACAGTACTGAAACTAGTGTCTTGGTATATTGGAAACTTTTATTTTATTATGTATTCTGTGGAATAAAATTACAATATTTTTTATAAATATTATGCCTAATTCATAATTGCTATTAAATAAAAATTATCACAATGAAAAAAACTTAAATATTTGACAATTATAATAGACATTTATTTAACTTATAACATTTTTCAAAGAAAATTTAATAAAACCACGTGCAAAGAATTTATATAACTATCACTTTATTTAATTACTTGTGCTTGTTGGTGTGTACTTAAGTTCCCAGATTTATAAAATTGACTTTGTGACACAGCTATACCTCTGAACATAACATTAAAATTATTAATTTAATTTACCTACAAATTCATTCCCATTATTTGAGGGCTCACATTGCGGGTAAACTCGCTTCTTCAGCACATTGCGAATTTTATTCTTTAATAGACGTTGAAACATATGAGCAAGTTGTTAAAATCTCGAACGGTAGTAGTCGATTTGCGCGTAGTACGCGATTGCTGAAGCATGGAAGAGAAAGGGAGGGTAAGATTGCAAAGCGCGTAAAATGTTCGGTATTTCTCAAACATTCTAATAGGTAGCAGGTCCTGCTTCTGCCCTGAGAGTTCTCTGGCGGCTAGAAAAATACCTCTCTTGAAAGACGCCATTTCAGTGCATTTCCTGAGCTACGATGGACGCAAAAGCGATTTGGAAGGTGAAGCTTATATTTTTTTGTCTTCACAACGTAAGAAATTACACTTCTACACTGCGATTTTCGCAACTCCCAGGGGCAGAGTTGCATAAATCACAATATACGGTAAGTTATTTTAGCTACCTTAATGCATTTTGCAATGAAGATCGATACTGGTAGACAAGTTTCAAACCGAAACGGCGAGGTGGGATAAGATGGGTTTAAAACTCATCTTATCCGACATGCTTTAATAGATTCTGTTTTTATAGTAGGGACATTATAATTAATTTTGTGTTGTAATTATTGTTTTATTTCATTTTACTATCTAATTTACGGCCGTTTCTTCTTGGGGAACTTGTGTTTATTTAATGTCAAAAGCAGTTCGAAAATGTATGATGTTCTGTGGGCAGGTTGTGCATGGGTTCTTGAGCTCTGGATTGTCTAGTCTCTCATGTACATATTCAGTTGAATCATGAAAACGTGTAGCAATGAGCGTTTTTGACAAGAATTTATACGAAAATCTTCGCTTTTGTGTAATAAGTTTGTTAAAGTAGAGAACGCGGTGCTCCCTCGTGCAGCGATCGATGGAGGGGAAGGTAAGAGGGGGGTGAGGTATTTCTCAATTTTTAACGTAAAAAATAATAATCAGGGGACATCTATAGCTGAACCAAAATTTGAACCTTTGATAATCAATCTTAGAGGGAATATTTATTACTTCTCTTATTGTCGTAAACCTTTTTCATAAACAAATTTTACGAAAAAATGCATATTAAAATGGAAATATTACGTCTATGTACTTCCGTACATACTTCCAGGGCATGTAATAGCGGTCAACGTTGGCTTCTTGCAGCAATATCTTGCTCATACTTCATTCAAATTCTAGTCCCAACAACAGTCGGCAATATCTTTCCGAGGGGGTGGAAACACATGGGTTTACATTATGACCGGAATACCTAGCAAGAAATATTGCCATCAGAAATATTTATTGCCTTAATGTTTACATTGGCAACTTTTCTTGCGAAATAATATTGCTCGCCATTTTCTTGCAAGTGTAAAGCCAGCTTAAGGACTCACAGCGTATGTGCACTGACCGGCTCACTCTTCGAAAGCCCTTTTACTCTCCGTTATAACATACGAAATTCTTTCGGTCGAGCAATGGCACAAGCGGCTCATGAAACCGATCGCTGTCCGCTTTCCGGCGGGTGATGGCAGGCCGTGGCAGTCGCGCGTGTTTTGTCGCCTACGTAGATCACCACGCGCTTTGTCGGCGGTATCTCAAGTGATATCAAGTTCGAAATTGAAGGACGCAGATGCGTGTCACCCCCGCCAATTGTAGCTCACACAGGACAGGGCCTTTGTTTCAGCAGTGAAATTTGATGGCAAGGTTTTTATTCCGTGTCCAATACCTTCTCAGGGAAGACTTTTCCGATGACCTTTGGCCGACACTCTTTCCAAGCAGCCCAACGTTGGAATTTGTGGCACTGAGGTGACACATTTTTTCCAGGAAGGTATTCATTTTCAGGACTTTGAATTTCCTACGATTACTATAGCTGAAGTTAAGAATTCACTACAACCATGGCGGATTTACACACGGGCCACCCCTGGGCACTGCACTTCGTGTCGCCCTTTTTTCTATTCTTTAATTTTAAAGACAATAAAGAAAGCCTGTCAGAGGGCCGATATTGTTAAGGCAGCAGTGCCGTAGCGGTCTCGGACCAGAAGATCGCTGATTCGAGTCCCACCTCGTGCATGGGTTGATTTGCATTTGTATGGGTGTGTCGCCCTCTCACCCCTCATTACCAGCATCATTTCGTCTTCCATACTCCCAGGGTCATTTCAACCTTGGGGCGTAAAAATTGACTCAACAGAAATGCTGATCCCCCTAACAATGTTTCACGTGCATACTCCAAAGAAAAAAAATATGACTGGGTATTTATGGGTATAACTGCACGTTCGCGTGGTCTATAGAAAGGCCAATTCGCGACGGAAAAAATTACAATTAAGTTTTAATAATGTCTAAAGCATTTATTCAATTAGTGAGTAATACACCTTTTATATAGTAAAATGAAGAACATTACACAAAATAATCTAAAACCTCTTGCGTCTTGCTGATTGGACATAGAATTGGTTGGACAAAGAAAAGGTCGATGCGATCATCACATATTATTGATTTTAAAATTTCGGATTCTGTTGCCAACAAAGCTAGCCCATTAATTCGATCTTCGGCCATTTCTGACTGCAAGTTGGCGGCGCTGCCTGCAAGTACTTACGCAGACAAGTATCCGGTGTACAAAGTCAATTTGGATACCTAATTTACAATTGGAATACAAACTTAATGGACTCCATTGGAGAAAAAGTTTCAACATTTTTTTCGGCGCAGTGTAACTTTTTATTTCCGAAGTGTCCTCTAAATTCGTCATAGAAGTCTCGCAACAAGTTTGGTTTTACTTGTACATTGATTGCATTCAAATTTACAATTATTACAATTATGGAGAACTTTCCACTGACCTTGTAAGCTTCTTTTCTTCGAATTAACTCGCAAACTAAGTTATCTAAAATAACACAGAACGTATTGACTTGGAAGTGTCCGCGGCCAGTTAAGTTAATTCAACCTCCCCATCTTCAGTCTCGTCAATTTGAAGTTTTCTTTTTCGTCTCTGATCATTTACAGATTATAGGTGTTGTGGTGCGTTATCGTTGGCATTTTTCATGAAATAATTATAAACGTATATACGTAATTATAATCGTTTTGTGGCTTCCATCCAGTAGACAACTGATGATGATGGCTAAGCCATCGAAAGCTGCTCTTATATTAAATACTATTGTTGGCAATGACAACGTTTATAATTATTTCACTTACAGATTGACAATCTTTGGTTATGGACATTTATATACTTTTTTCATAAACATCAAATTCGATTTGCAACTCTCTTACAAGCTCGATCTATTCATTGTATAGATCAATAGCTGCGACAGCGCTTCTATTGACGCTTTGCAGCTTTTTGTTTGTTGAACTGAATCTGCAAAGTAAATCCCACACGCACGGCATCAACAAAGTCTTCAGATATTTCATTTGACACCGAATCCCCCCGCTTTGTATCGAGAAGTTGTTTTCTATGTGTCGGTTGGAGGAAAATAAAATAAATAAAACGCTTATCTGTAATGTAAAGAAAGGATTTTATAATTATTGAAGAACTGAACAACTAATTATTGACACTCAAGTTGTTCAAGTGAGACGTTTATTGCACTGGCAACTACGGTCTACCTATATCACATGTTTATTTTCAGTTAGAGGGACTTTCAAAATCGGTAAACTTCTTTTGCCGTATGGAACTGAATATGCTTGATGCGATCGCTACGCTACAGTGCCATTCTCTCGAATGGGGTCTGGCAATTTTATAGATGTATTGAGCTGTTTCGACATCTCACGTGTGCTAATTGCCATAAGCCCACGTGCCCCGAAGCTCTTATCACCCCCATCACATTAGCTACACCCAGCTGCCGGTCAACCCGAAGGGGGTTCGAAGACTCATGAAACTCCACAAAGGGTCGATCTTCCAAAGCCACCCTCCCACTTGCAACAGAGTCTAAAGACACCCCCTCTGGGACTCCCGCTCCCGAAAGCAAAGAACCCACTCGACCTTCATCAAATCGCGCCAGGCGCCCTTGACACTCGCGATGCTGTAAACACTGGAATTATCTTTGTTTCTAAAATTCCCCCTCGCTAATCCTTTGGGACTAGCTGTAATTCTTCACCCAGAGCGTCGGCTCCCTGCAGATGTCCCCTCAGGCGACCCATCGTCAACAGTAGCTAAACAATGACTAGCTATTGGGACGGTCAAAATAAGTATCATCGAAGTGGGAATTGGGCCGACCAATAGGCATCTACAACTCCATAGAATATTCTAGAACTAGCTAAGGAACCATAGGGCGACACACACGTGACCAAAGGGCTCTCACATAGAGGATTGTTAACACAGGGCAGAGATGAGAGAGGAGAGATGCTGTCTGAAATCCTTCGAGAGAGGCTGTTTTGATTTTCACTGAAAAAAAGACGCATTTATATAAAAAACTTTGAGACATCTATTTGACACCGCAACTTGAAAAAAATTACAAAGTTTTCGCTTCACCAAATGCCATCTTCTCTGGAACCGGGGCATTATTTCAAACTGTTATCAAGCGAAATAACCGTCAACGGAGTTGATTCCGTTCTGCGGATGACAGCCACAACGACTGAAAATCACTTGTCAGGGTGAGCAACGGGCCGCGATGTGCATTCCGACGTAAGTAGAGTCAAGTATGACGGTTATACTCAGCTAGACAGAAAACCCACCGTCATCGGTTCGAGAGCGAGTGCCATCAATCCAGTCATCGGCGCGTGCTGCGGACTCAGGACCGGTCCAGACGCGAGCCCTTGGACTTGCGACGCCGCCCCTCCTCTAGCGGCATCGCCCGGCGTGCGCGATTTGACGGATCCAGGACGGCGACGAGCTGTTTCCTACAGCTCAAAATGTATACCTGTAGGCTCCTGTCCAGAATTAAGAGTTTGAAACGCTAGTGGACAAAGAAAAGGATTGCGAAGTTATAAATACATTAAATGTCCATGTAATAAAATGGTGTCATTTTGAAGATTCGTGTGCCCGCAATTCTGACGGACAACACTTAAACAATCGATTGAAAGTGCTTTTCAATTAATAAATTAAGAGCATGCGCATCATCCCGACCCAGAGGGACTCGCTCCTTGAGATCTCTACAGCAGGCGCAGGAGGCAGGTTGGTGTCGCACTTGGCGCCCACATCTAAATAAATTTAGCGCGTGCGACCTGACATCGTGTGTCGACACATCGTGGAACCCCGCTAGGTTCGGTACCCACAAATCACGGGCATATTCCGACGCACAGGTTCGTCAGAGTATTTGTAGATGTACGGTACAGTGTTTTCGGATAATCCGAATGTTTCCGATTAGATTTCGAACAGACCACACCCCTATTTAGTTCGGAAAACTGGGAGGTTTCTACTGTACTGCGCATGCCAAGGTTTAGGTATAGTTACATCCTCCCTCAAGAACAATGTTGGAATTGATCTGACTCTTTTTGTCTTCATCACCAGCACTTCACCTTCATGAAG